AGCAGTGATTCTGGTCAAGGACTTGATGTGAGAATAGGCGAAGCTCGCAACATGCATATTAGTCTCAAGTTTCAAAGCACCAGCAAGACTGGAGATGAGAGCCACTGATGGCTTGGTCTCAAACAACACAATACAAGCAACCATGCGCACTTCTGGGTGGAGAGCTCTGTCCAATACAAGCTGTAGGGCCACTGGCTGAACCTGAATCAGAAAACAATGTTAGTTTATTTTTGGAATAAAATGTGCATAATCATGTTTTATTCATTTCTACAATGTCTGACACTTACAAGTTTGGGCTCTTTCTTGGCAATGTTCCTCAGGGCCAAGATGGCATCAACCTGTATCCTAAGGGGCAGAGAAGTAGCTGCAGTTCTCAGTCCAGGTAGGAGCTTCATGATGGGTTTAAGACTAGCAGGATGACCAGCATTGCCGAGAACTTTAAGAGCCAAAGTGATTTCAGGAATGTCATTCTTGGAAATGGCCTCTGCAGCAATCTCATGGATGGGCTGAAGAGTTTGAGGCACATATAATCAGACAAATATTAAAAAGAAAGTCCAATTAGACAAATATTAAAGAATAAATCATTGGTAGAAAGTTAGAGAGTACTTGATATGTTTACCCCGAGGAGCTCAGCGGGGCAAGTGGGAACTGCAACACAGTGCTTGGCAATCATGGAACCATATCCAAGCATTACGACTTCACGCAGAGCTGGAATTGTGGCAATTTTCTCGTGCAAAGCCAAACTCTGTTCAGCAAGATACAGAAATGAATCATTTGATTTAGGCAAGATTTGAAGAACAACATTTTGAGTATATTAAGATGTACCCACAGCTGTCAACTGGATGGTTTCCAGATCAGCAGTGACCATTTGCAGAGCAACCACAAGAGCTTGAATGAACTCTGGAATGGTAAGTTCACCAGCCAGGAACTTCTCCTTGAATAATTTTACAATGACTGGTGTGCCAACAGCAGGAAGAGCATCCAGGAGCCAGCGCCTACCAGAATCATTGTTTAAAATATATACATGCAAAAATGCTCCTGTACTATATTCTTATTAACGCACTGCTCACAAATTGTACCTGTAAACTGGTTTGTCCTTGAACTGAGCCCA